CTCGGGTTCCGGGTGGACGCCGCGTCCCGCCCGCCTTGGCGCGCCCACAGAGCCCGGCCATGGCCCGATGCCGTCTGCGCCATGAGCGCAACGCCGATGGAGGCGGATGGGACCCGATGGCAACCGAAGGCCTCCGCCGGCACCAGACTAGAGCGTACGCACCTACTCCGAAGGAGAACGGCCACCGGAAAAGAAATGGAGCTGCAAAGCACCCCGGGATGGCAGTGGGCCCGGCCAATCAGAAGCGCCTGGACGTTCTGACCAATCAGAGCCTCGAATCACGGAAGTGACGTGTTCGCGTTCCCAGCCGCCCTCGCGGCCCCTGGGTGGAGATTGCATAATCTACACCTCCCCACAAACCCGGACAGGGGACTCCCCGGTGGGCTGGGGGAGAGTAGTGGCGGGTGGTTTCGGCGAATTCCTGGCAGTGCTGGCCTTTTTCAGCTTCCGTACGCACTGGGACTCGGTACGTTACCCCAACACCTAAAGTGTCGTTCTCCGTGCCCTAGTCTTTGTTCCTTCCCGTTTGGAACATTTGTGCTTCTTTCTTTAGACCACACTTAGCGGTTGCTGTAAGCGGGGCATCCTGTACTTCATATACATTTTCACATGGAATCGCACGACCGCCTCTACAGGGATCGGGTAACTTCTCTGAGGTCGGGCAGTAAGTGGTGGAACTAAAAATTCACGTGGCGCACTGCAGATGTCACTTTCCGCTGTGCCGCTGTGCATGCTGCCTCCACAGAGACGAGCATCATAAAAAACATGAACTAGCCAGGCATACATCCATAATTTGTGCCCCGCGCGTCTCCTATTCTCGAAGTCAAGTCTGGGAATTCACCAACACCCTACTCGTATCTCTTAAGCCTTTACATCCTAGTAACCCACTTTCTCAGCTTCACACCCATCACCAAGCTTCCTTCTAACAAAACTTAATCAACATTGTAAGAATTTCATGACACAAAATGAGAAATTTGAAGGTCTGTGTCCTGCACGGAGATAAAAAGTTGTTGATAAAGTTTTCTGACCTATTGAGACACTCTTGGGTGTTGGAAAAATCACTAAGGAATTACAAAGTTATGACCTGGGAGACAGAACATGGGTAACAGAGGAAGCACACAATCTTTTCAGATGAATGCACTGAGCCTACATGGGAAGTTCAAACCCTCACTCTGCCATGTAATAGATATGTGCTCAATTATGAAACGAGGGCAATAACAGCCCTGCTTTTCTGACAAGTTCTCAGGCCCCTTTCAGTGATCCCACCATGAGCCAAAATACCTTCCTCTTTCTAATCTCAAACATTCCTGTCCCCATCCTCAACTTCTCTTTCTGGACAGACCCACAGACTCATGTATCTCCATCTGCCCTAACCCTCCTCTCTCCATTTGAGCCCTAGCTGCTTGTCATCAATTTGTTGTCCTGAAACACTGGGTGGGGGTTAGGTCTGATGTTAGAAACACTGCTCAGAATCCAGTTAGTGGTAAGAAGGTAAAGTTGTAATTTGAGGACCTCGTTGCGCTGCACACAGCCAAGCCAGACATAGAATCCAATTTTTCATGCTTGAATACTCCATACCTTACTTCATTAGAAAATTATGGGGGCAGCCAGTTAGCTCAGTTGGTTAGAGCACAGTGCTCATAACACCAAGGTTGCTGGTTCGATTCCCACATGGGCCACTGAGATGCGCCCTCCAAAACTAGATTGAAACAATTACTTGACTTGGAGCTGATGGGTCCTGGAAAAACACACTGTTCTCCAATTAAAACAAACAAAAAAACATTATGCAGAACAGTGAGACAAAAAGTTCTGATATGAAAATTATGTTGAAAATATGCTCAGCTTTTCCATTTGGAAAGATTAATGGGAAAGCTTAAAGAAGTGAACTGTTATGAACTGTCATGCAGGGGTCCAGATACAAAGATTTGGCTGACTCAAGGGTTTTAAAAATCTTTAGGGGCCAGTCGAGTGGCTCAGTTGGTTAAGAGCTCACTCAAGAGTGCGAGCTCTGAGCAACAGAGTCGCCAGTTCGATTCCTGGCCCAAGTTGAGCTGCTGCTGAGCTGCCAACAGGTGGCAGGATGGCTCAGCTAAAAATAAATAAATAAAATAAAACTCTTTAGCTATACTTTAGCTATAGGGGTAGCCTCTGTCCCTTGGCACAGAAACTGCACAGCCACAACTCTCCTTAAGGGCTTTTGTCCCGGGCTTACGCCTGAAAGGGCTAGTTAATGCCGCTGGAAGTAGCACTCAACTAAGGGGATCAAGGATTCCTGGATAAGTGTCTGGTGGTGTGGCAGTATGTATGCTCTGCACACCCTCCCAGAATTTCCTTGCAAGACTGAACCCCAAGTACTCATGGTGGTGCCTGCTCATTCCGCATCTGCACCTGACTGGCCTCTTCCATCTGGTGCTTTGAGGGTCAGCCTCAAAGAAATGCAATCTACGGTAAGACAGTCAACAATAGTTTCTCAATCCCTTTCAGACACAGTCTTGATTTTTAAAATTATAGTAAAGTGATTTTTGTGGGAAAAAGTCACATCCCTATAGTACTTGGCAAAAAATTAGCATGTTAATTTTGTCATATAAATATGGGCTGATGGTTAAATTAGGAAAAGCAGTGGCCTAATAACAAGGACAGGATAATATTACACTGTTTCATTACAGAACTGAACCATCCAGCCTCTCAACTTTCCAATATCATGGCCTACACATAAATCAGATATAGGCTAACTCAAAGATTCCTGTAATATGAGAAATATGTCAGTGAAAGACTATTGGAAGTACATTATCATAATCATAAACATTTTCAAGTTCCTAAGCGAGATCTTAAAAGTTCCCATCACAAGAAAAAAATTTTGTTAACTGTGTGGTGATGGATGTTAACTACACTTATTGTCCTAATCATTTTACAGTATATACAAATATAGAATCATTATATTGTACACCTGAAACTAATATAATGTATGTCAATTAGACATCAATAAATTTTTTTAAAAAGCAAAACAAAATCATGTTTATGAGTACATATCAGAGTGAAGAACAATTTGTATTATGGTTTAAGAACTACAAGTTGGACTGGCCAAGTGGCTCAGTTGGTTAAGAGTGTGAGCTCTGACCAATACGGTCGCCAGTTCGATTCCTACATGGGCCAGTGAGCTGCACCCAAGCTGAGCTGCTGCTGAGCTGCCAATAGGTAGCAGGATGGCTCAGCTGGTGAGCGCACGTGCTCCTAACAAGGTCCGGTTCAACTCCACAATGGGATGGTGGGCTATGCCCACCTGCAAATAAAATTGAACACGGCACCTTGAGCTGAGTGGCTGCCAGCTGCAGACGGGCTGCCAGATGGCAACTGGACTTGAAGCTGAGCTAGCTGCGCCCTCCACAACTAAGATTGAAGGACAACAACTTGGCTGTTCCCCTTCCCCAATCCCCCAATAAAATCTTTAAAATAAAGTGGAGTATAGTGTGGGAGTGGAGTCTAGGGAATTGTAATAGATATGTATGATATTGAGGGGGGAAGTGGGGCGGCAGATTGGGGGAGGGGTTTTCACTTCGAGGGGTAAAAAGTGTAACTATTGCACTTTTGTACAGCTGAAACTAATTCTAAAAAATGTATATCACAATAAAAAATAATAAAAAAAATTTAAGCAACAGAAAATATGAATTAAACACAAATCTATGTTAAGAAACTTTAAAGAAAATCACATATTACACACCTAGTATTAAGTATGTAGGCACATTTCTGGATAACCTTTGGCAGACATGTATAAATAAAAACTTTCCCTTTAGTGACATAAAAAAAAATCTTTAAAATAAATAAGTAAATAAATAAAATTTAAAAAAAAGAACAAGTTAATTTTTTTCTTATTCTTTAATGATCTTCTGAGGCTCTGTGTTAAAGATACATGTTTATTTAAGGAATACGTGGTTATCTCAGGAGATTTCACACACCTAACTCAAAGACAGTTCCAGAAGCTACAATCAGGCCATGCTGTACCAGCTCTGCTGGGCAGAGGGGCAGAGTTTCTTGACAGCATTAAGCACACAGGTTGCCTGGTTTGGTCTGGCTGCTCCGGGGACCATGTGCTGTTATTGAAACCTCTTCACCTTTAGGACCCTCTTGAAGTATTCAGTTGAGCTTTATCCATGCACGAGATAGCAGAGGATGTAACTCCTGACACTATTCTCAAGTGCCATGTGTCTCACAACAGGGGGGCTGACATAATTTATGATCAACCCACAGGCCAAAGTCTGCAAACAACAATTATCAATCAGAGCACAAAGCAAACCCCCTGGCTGAGGGTCAGTGAGCCCACTTACATCAGCGAGTGCTGGGAAGCCAGGTCCACTTTCCCCACTATAGCAAAGCAGCCCCTTTCATGCCAGTTACATCCTATTCTTGGCTAAGCATCTTCTGGCACTCAGCAAATGATTTTCCAAAGGATAAACAGACATGGGCCATTTTAATGGGTCAGGTACAGGGAGGATGAGCTTGGCCATGTCCACCATTAGAGATTACAAAGGATACTGCCCTCAGGCAAAGACACAGCAAGAACCCTCCTAACTATATGCTGCTCTTTGGAAATGAATTTGGGGAACTGGGGCAAATGCAAACGTGTCCTCAAAAAACCCCCGAGCTGCCCACCCTCTGGTGTGGAACCACACCTGTACCTGCCCATGTACAGCACAGCAGGCGTTTCCTCAGGGCACTAAGTGTGGGAGCAGTGACAGAACCACCATTCTGTCAGGAAGTATCCATGGCTTCCCACACCACTGCTGAGAGGCAGCAGGTAGGAGCACCTGAGTGCATGCAGCATGCCCCCCAGGTACGTGGAAGCCGAGTACACTCCACCCGTCTTGCAATGATGGGGTGTCCTGAGCCCTTTATCCCAGATTCCTATAAAAAGGGCTCTTCAGTTAGTTACCGCATAGCTGAAATTATAACCTGCAGACACAATCCTGGGGTCCTGTAGCCCCTCTGGGCTAGAGCTGGCTACGTGGTACCTAAAGTATTCCAACAGTCCTCAGGTGTCCCCCACACGGTGCCACTGAAGCAGTGAGGAGAGGTTCTCGTGCACACCCATCCGAATGGCAGTAGGTGGCAGTGTTTTAATCCTGTAGAGCCCAGTCCCTGTCCCCAATGTTGTAACCCCATTGATGAGTGAGAACGGCTCAGAGGATCCTTTCACTGGGATCCTGTTAGCATGCTGATGAAGTCACAGGGGCTACGAAGAGCCTGTGCACAAGCCCCGGCATGAACAGGCTGTGCAGAGCCTGACTACTGCGCTGCCCCTGAATCCACCCAGCACCCACGAAATGACCATGTCATACATCTGGGAACTCCTTATGTGTACCCGTAACAAGCACTGATGAGCCTCCCCATGGGGGAAAACGATCTACAAATGCAAAACTAAATCATCTCTGCAGAGACTTTACTAATCACAACAGATCTCAGCAGCCCTACAGCAGGGAACAGTGAGGGCCCAGAGGAGGTACAAGTCTCAGGCAAAAAGGAATCTGAGGGACAGCTAAGTAAGGGGTTCACTTCCTGAGTCCCCACAGGCACCATTAACGAGGTCCAGCTATTTGGGCTAAGAAGGCTCCTCCCCCCGAAGCGGGGCCTGCTGAGGTGCCTCCTCCTCCCCAGTGTCTTGATTCTCGCGCTCAGCATCAATCCACCTCAGAGGCGCGATCATCTTCTTGGGCCCGTGAGGCGGTGGGCCAATGAGGGCCTCGATGTCGTCGTAGTTTATCACTTCCTTTTCCAGCAGGGCATTCGCCAGCTAGAAGAGACACACGGCAGTGTGTGAGCCCAGGGGGATAAGGACACAGACAAGAGCCTTTTGAGAGCAGAGCACTGAGAAAGAGGGGGGCCCTCAGCTTCCCAGGAAGGGGCGTCTGTGAGCAGGACGCCCCTGGACAGGCCACTTTCCCAGGGAAGCAGCACATGCAGGCAGCTCGAGCAAAGAATCACTCCCTGTCTCAACCTTGGAGATGATTTCCCAGCTGCAGCCTCATTAATTTTCTGCTTCCCTTCCAAATCGCTGCTTATTTTGGGCAACTTTGATTCCCTTTACCAAACAAGGTGTGTGTGTGTCTGTATAGGGGTGGGGGGCTAAAATGCAGAACCTCCTCGCTGGCACTTGGGGACAGGGATGCTGGCGCTGAGACCTGGGGGGCCTCACAGCTTTAGAAAGGAGCCTCTGCACCTCTAGACACGGTCGTGGGAAACACGCTGAAAGAATCCTGCGCGCGCCCTGCATCAGCAGCCCATCGCTGCCACTCACTCCACACCACAAGGAACGCTGCCACAGCCACTTGGACTGGTTTCTGTCACCCCCAAACTGGGGCGGACCAGTTCCTCTGTGTGGCTGCTCTAATATATAGCTGCGCCCTGTACCCCACCGATGGTGTGAGCCAATCACAGTGCACACTGAAACAGGACATCCTCAGCTCACCGCAGGGAGACTAAGTCCTGCCCAGTGGCAGCAACAATGCACACATGTGACACTGGGGACCTTGTTAACGGCAGTTTCTGGCTCAGAAGGTGAGGTAGGCCCGGCATTCTTGCACTGCCCACAACTCCTGGGGAGGCTGGTACTGCTGGTCTGTGGTGACACTTGGAGGACCTGACACACACAACTCCTAAGCTGGCAGAGCGCCATGTTAATGAAACAACGGCCCATCCACCAAGAGCTGCCCACCTCTATTAGGAACACAGTAACTTCACCTCTGGTGTCAAGAGGTGACCCCAAACCCAACACCAAGTCTTATGAGAACATCAGACCTGTCCTTCTAACTGCCACGGCTGGCCATCAACAACAGAAAAGTAAGAAACTGACCCAGCCAAGAACAGCCTGAGGAGGCATGATGACTAGCTGTGATGGGTGGGAGGGGGAAGGGGCAGGAAAAGGATATTAGGGAAAAGCTTAACGAAATCTGAATAAAGTGCGGGCTTCAGTAAATAATATATCAATACTGGTTCACTAGGTTGTGAAAAATGCCACATGTTAATGGAAGACGTTACTAGAAAAAAACTGGGTGTGGAATATAAGGGAACTCTACTATAGCTGCAACTTTTCTGTACATCTAAGTCTATTCTGAGCTTTAACATTTATTTTAAAATTTTCAGGAAAAGTTTGAGTTGGAAAAAGATTAAACAAAACTGACCAAACACTAGTAACTGCTAATGCTGGGCAATGGGCACATGAGGGTTTATTACGTTCTGTCTCCTTTGAAAGAACTGGCTTGACATGTACATAATAAAACACTAAAAATATATGAAAAATATTAGATTTCAGTTGAGCTGGGTGGAATACATACTGGTTATGTTGTTTTCTAAAGTTCTGTGTACATTTGAAATATTCCATAAAAGGGTGATCAGCTGTGCCAGCACAGTGTAGTGATGGTCGCCCTCCCCCCACACACACACAACTTCTGGAGGGACAGGCGGTGCCTGGGGGTCAGAAAGCACCGAGTCTCACCGCATGCAGCTTGTCCAGGTTGTCCTGCAGCACCTTCTCGGTGTGCCTGTAGGCCTTAGCCACCAGCAGTCGCGCTTCCTGCAGATGAAAGACAAGAGCTCTGTAAGGAGCACAGCTGACCACTACTCCCAACGTCATCCATAGCCTGGAGCTGGCACCAAAGTACACGAAAGAACCGTAGTTTCAGGAACACAGCCTTTTGTCGCACAATGACAGGAGCGCTCGGCTGCCAGGAGTTCCCCTGGGAATGCCCTAGGTCAGGATGCCTGCCCACCAGCCATTCGCACCCACAGACGCCCCACCAGCTCCCGGAGGCCAGGGACCCTGTGTCTGTCCCCCATGCCTACAGCTGCCTCACATGCTTGTGCACCAGGCCAACCAGAGCTGCCCCAGCACAGGCCAAACACTGCTCTGGTGCAATCTCCCAGGGACAGTACAGTGCACTCCTGCTGGCCACAGGAATCACTGGCACTAGCTCTGTCATTTGATGCATTTATGTGAGATCCTTCGCAGTTTCCCATCATCTATAGTTTCATCAGGAGCCACACAGGTCCTCATCCATGAACACACTACTCAGCAGGTCAGAGGGACAACAGGCAAGGAGGAACAGCCACGATGTGGGAGCACAGGACAGGGATCAGCTGGGCACATTGGGGAGCCTCCTCTGAAGAGGGAGCTTCAGTCCTCGCATGGCAGAGAGCACAGCGCCAGCACGGGAGACATGCCCCTACCCCCACTGTGGTGCGGGATGGCGCAGAGGCCGGCACGAGGTGTGGCAGCAAGGGCCATGCACTCACATGGTCCATCATCTGCTGGAGGCCCTGGCTGAAGGGGCGCCGTCCGATACCCACAAGGCCCTCCTGAGCCTCAGGGAAGGAGATGGGCCCGATGCTCGGTACCATCCCAAACTGCTTCACCATGGAGTAGGCAATGCGAGTGACCTTCCTCAGGTCATCCTGCGCCCCTGGAGCGAGGGGTCAAGAAAAGGTTTCTTTGCTGTGATTCCGAGTCAAGGCACCCTAGGGACCACATTGATAGACCTGGGCCAGACAGCAGATACAGAGTCCTCAGAGGACAACTATATCCTGTTACTGTTCCTTAAAAGAGAGTCTGGAAACTTTTTAAAAAATGTTCTTTTGTTTAAAAAACTACTTGGGGTGCATATTAGCATTCACTTTACCAGCAGTTCTCCGGCACACCTGTCAACAGGGAAACCCAACATCACAGGGATTGAGCTGGGAACCTCTTCCGCCTGCTCACTGGACATCCCAGTGAAATAACAGTTTGAGAACAGCGAAGTTGCTTGAATTACCAATAATTAACCAGTTAAATGTTTATAATCTGCATGTATGTAAGTTTTTGTAACAATTATTTAAAAAGTCTTGCTTAGTTCCAAATCTTTGACCATCGCTCATCTTTCAAAAAACCACTTAATGAAATTCAAAATATATTTGCACATCCTACTATTCAAATCCTTCCATCAGACTCACCCCCTCCCCATGCAGAGGGGATAATGGATGTGAAAGCACTGTGAGAACTCCAGACCCTGCAGGGCCAGCTCCTCACCAGAAGTAACCTTGTTGAAGGAGATGTTCTCCGACACGCGACCACCCAGGGCCATGCACATCCGCTCAAACAGCTGCTCTTTGGTGAAGAGGTGCTGGTCTCTTGGGAGCATCTGAGCAAAGCCCAGTGCAGCGTTGGTCCGAGGTGCGATGGAGACCTGCAGAACGTCAGATGGCCTGAGTTAGCAGGCAGGATGCAAGCTTTAAAGGTGAAGGGGGCAATGTAAGATCTTTAATCGAAGAGTTTCAAAGCAGTTGAGCAAATCTCCACTTTCCCCATTTTATAATAAAAGGATGCTATCATTAAAGGAAAGCAGCTCACACACTGTGGGTGTCTTCCTTGCATATTACTATGTATTTAAGAAGTAAAAAAAAAATCAAAGACAGGGCCTTTTAGGTGACCCAACCAGGAGGTGCAGGGACCAATGCCACTGAGCACCCCCCACCCATGGCCCCTCCCTTCCCACTGCCTCCTCTGCTTCGGGCACTGACCAGGAGGCTATGAAGGGGGCACAGAGACTGTCCCTGTCTTCACCTCCCCCCACAGCCCAGGTGTGTGCATGGTTCCAGTGGAACAAAGCCTGCGGCCTGGGCAACAAGGAGGCTCGGACTGCAGGTGCTGTTTCTGAAGGTTAGGGCAGCAGAAGGACCACCTCACAGTGCCCTGAGAATCAGAAGACAAAACTGAAAATCCAACACTAAACTACAACTGAAAAGCCTGGAAATAACAACCAAACAGGAACTTCACCATCTTTCCCTAGCAGAGTATAAGCCTTGGGAGGGAGGTTTTCTGATTATGAGTAGTTGATGACTTTTAGTCATCAAATGAAGCAACATTTCTAAAAACAGGACATTTTAAATTATGATATTTACTTCATCATGGGTTTTTCAACATTAACTTTCTTTTTTGAGATACTGCATTAAAGTATTTATCTTTATTACTAAATTTTGTAGTATCCCATAAACATTCACACCTAGGTGACTGTCCCACTTGACTCACCCTGGGCCTGGCTCTGATCACCTCGGTGACTGGTGCATACACTTGTCTCTGTCAGAAAACACCAGACTTCCAGCCCTCTGATGAGCATATAAAAGGAACTGGCCTATTCAACACTGACATCACCAAACGTAAGACTAACAAACATCAGAATAACATCTACTTTGCTACAACTAACACCACTGATTAACAGACCTTAAACACTAAGGTACCTGACTGTGGATGGCTACACTGTTCCTAGGTTTGGGTCTCAGGGTACTGCAGTGCAGCTCCTGCAGCTGGTAGGACCAAGCCACCTGCACAGGCTCCCAGTGACTCCACTTACTCAGGTCTATATGGAGGGTACTCCCTGCCCTCACCTTTACTGACTGGGCACCTGCATCTCCCATGTTTACAGTTTTCTTAATGGTCATTCAAGCATTTTCTGGTCATGAATCCACACATGTTGGAGGAGCTATGATATTATCATTTGATACAAATAAATTTTTATCAAGCTCACAAATGTCTAAAGGAGTAGACATTTTTATTTTTATTTTTTTGTATTTTTAATTTTTTTAGCTGAGCCATCCTGCCACCTGTTGGCAGCTCAGCTCAGGCCAGGAATCAAACCGGCGACCCTGTTGCTCAGAGCTCACACTCTTGAGTGAGCTCTTAACCAACTGAGCCACTCGGCTGGCCAAGAGTAGACATTTTTAAATGTGTACTAAACTCATTTCTATTTAAGCTTAGGAATCATTAGATCAACACATTTTAGAGCTGATAGTAAACTTGGCAATTCTTAATTCCAAGACTGACTGTAGATGGGGAACAAGACCACAACTAGCCATGTGGCTTTCCAATGGTCATGTCCAAACTGGAACCCACTGAGTAAGATCTAAGACCTGCTGCCCTATGCTTTCCAGGTGAGGGATCCTGCACAGTCACCTCCCACCTGTTCCCAGGTCCACCTCAGACTGCATTTTCTCTTCACCAAGCACAAGCACGTGGTACTTCCAAAGTCAGCTTTGTTCAAGGGCCACTTGGGGTCACACCCTCCAAGACCCCAGATCCTCCCAGCTCCCGCCTCTGACACCCTACCTTCATCACAGCCTCGGTGTGCTCCAGCAGCCAGCCGACCAAAGCATGGCCTGACTCATGAAATGCAACCACCTTCTGCTCTTCCTTTGAGAGGATCTTGCTCTTTTTGGCTGTCCCTGAAAGAATGCCCAGGACTGAGTTCAGATGCACTGATGCGTAAGTGTATAAGGAACCTTCTTTCATCAGCCTTGCAAGTTTTTTACCATGTGTTGTCAAAGCAAGGACGTTCACTCCCTGTGTCTCTGCCCCAAGCTGACACCCACAACTATTCCTCACTATTATTCCAATTTGAAGGGAAACTTGTTAGGTAGGAGAGAGGTGATGGAGGGAACCATGTTTGTTCCCACTTCCATAAATGGTGGCATAAATCCAAACAGCTCGTGCAGACTTTGTGGGTGGGGCTGCAGGGTTGACAGGATTAGCACAGGCCCACTCTGAGCTCCAGGTTTCTTGTAGACAGGTAGCTGCAGCCCCTGTGACTCTACAGTTCTCTTTCACCCTTAGTAGCTGACCACCTTGGTGACTTTATCTTTCAATTCCCCTGTTCAAATTACTGCTGAGGTTTCATTCACTGTCCCAAACACCCTTAAGTTTCCATTTTATGCAATGTGAGTTAAGCTCTAGGTTTAGGGTATTTACTGTATCATGCTACTAGGATCATCTACCACCATTTACCATAAAGATGTACATTCTGCCTGCAGCAGATGAATCATTTCAACCAGAGCTGATTCTAATGAGCCACCTAAAATTGAGATCACAGCCTCACAAGATGGGCTTTACCTAAACACAAACGTGTTCCGACTCAGGCAGTCAGCCTGGAATGAGGACAGGAGAGCTTGTCTTGTTCTAAGCACTGCATACATGGGGGGCAGTATTCTGTTAGTATTTTCTTCAGTCTTTCCTGCTTTGATACTATTACTGTAAGCGATTCAATTTCCATGTAAAATTAATTGGCTTATACAAAACCAAACATATAGTAAGAAATAGCAACTTTGGTCTTTTCTATCTACACAAGTTCACATCTTTCCCAAGGTGCAGCCTGGGAACCTGGTGGCATTTGTCTAGATTTTAAACTCAAACTGAGGGTGATAGGAACGTACTTCTTGTAGGGATAGCTTACGACAGACTGCTCACTACCTATAAGCATGGCCGGTGCTTCTCAAACATCTGTAGGAAGGACCACTTTCCCTTTTTTAAATTTCCAGTGTCTTGGGTTAACATTTTTGTTCTGAACTCTGTTCAAGGACAAGATGCACTGCTCATGTCTGGATGTTGTCACATGGAGCTATGGAAGCTTCTGGATGCTTTCTCTCAGTTTCAGTCCTGCTCTCCTCACAGAAGTCCACAGACCCCACTTCGAGCAGCAATGCTTAAGCACTGCCAGAAGCATCCCCGGCCCTCCACTGCCCGAACACCTCTCCTGTTCCTGTCCCAAGCAGAGCACGTGAGTTTTGGCCGAGATGATGCTGACAGGCAGAGCACAGCCCTCGGTAGACATGCCCCCTCGTCCTTGGGCAGTGGCAGTGTGGACCCCTAAAGACATGCACACTGGCCTGTCCATCTGCAGTTGGCTCTCAGGCACCACAGTGGCTGATGGGCCAAGCACCAGTCACATTTGGGTTTGCAAGATCCTTTTATATTTCTATTTGAAGAGTGTGTCTGTTCTTCAAATTGAAATTTGCAATATTTTAAACTATAAAAAAGTAAGTCATAGTGTAAAGCCCTGACTTCCAAAAATATGTATTTCCTTCTCATCCAATAATTCCTTGCTGATTAGGTCTACCATGCAACGTCTAAGCCTGACCCACTCCCTCCACGCCACCCTCCCTGAGGATGGTGCCTCATACCTGCAATGACACGCTCTACGGCGTATTCGAAGTTAAACGTGTGGACGGACGTATGCCCTTCCCGTGCAGCATGCAGTGCAGCCTCGTTACAGATGTTTGCGATGTCGGCACCTGTCAGCACAACAGGGGAGGGGAGGGTGTTGGCATGCTCCCTCAGGGCTTGAGAGGAGGAAGGGAAGGAGGGGTCCCCATGCAGATGAAGAGGGGTCAAGAGGAGTGGTGCAGAAAGAGAAGGCATGGTGAGGGCCAGGCTCTACTGGACTGAAGCATTTCACACAACAGAGCAAAAGAACCACCTCTTCTTCACATCCACTCCAACCTCTTCTGCCTTCCCCACTGCTTTACTACACAACTGGAACCAGTATGCTTCCATGTACCATCTTGTGTTTTATTCTACCTAATAAATCATATACTGATGGATAAGAAATTAAAGGCTCTCTAGCATCCACAAGATTCTAGTTAAGGACATTAAAAAAAAATCAAAGAAATTATATCATAATAAAAGGGATTTTTGTTTACATTACTCTTTAAAATGAGAGCCATGTAGGAAACAATCTTGATTTGTGATGTCTGTCTCTATGAATTAAAACTGAGACCGTGAGGGAGGGCAGTGGCACGGCCTAGCCTTGGCAACACCTGGTGGGAGCAGCAGTCTGCACTGGAAAGGAACTGAAGAGGCCTGTGTGTGGAGCCCTGAAGGCAGAACAGCCAGGACCGCCTCTGGAGGGGACACAGGCACAGTGCAGCCTGAAGAATGTGGGCAATGGAACCGCTGTTGAGTTTTCCACCACTCGGAGGAAAAGTAAAGTGTCGTGCATCCTTCTATCTCCTATCTGCTCTGCATGCACAACCTCACTCCCACCCAGGCTGTGCTGCCTGTAAGTCCCAGAGCAGAGGGTTGAGGGCACCCGGGAGAGGCTCTGCCCTCAGGACTGACAAGAACCGGCCCATGTACCGCTGAACCCTGGGGTGAGCTCCGCCAGACGCTGTGAGTAAAAATTGCTGGCCCGGGTCAGCTTTAGGGTCTTCAGGTGTTGCTCGAAAATCTCTCGCCTTTCCTGCCAAAGATAGGGGAGGAGGACACAAGTGTGGGCCTGGCTTGTCCACTCCACAGCCAGGAGCCACTCGGGAGGCATTCTCCGAGTTTCTTCATCGTCAGTCACGACCATAGTTTGTGAAACCAATTTAGCACTGCAAGCAGCATTCCAAAATGAAAATGAAAAAAAAAAAACAATAGAAAATAAAGTGCACGACACAAAGCAAGGTTATTCTGTAGAGCTTTGGATTCATGTACCTCCTGCATGCCCTAGACCCCAGTGTCAATGCTTCCTAACAGTCAGGAAGATGGACAACCACCCCTCCAGAAGTAGTGTCACAGGGTAGCCTCACTCCGCTTCTTAGACAGAGTAGCAATTTGAGAGTAGAACCCAGAATGAGCTCAGGGTATGCCACGAGCCACAGCCCTGCACCCCCAGGTGCTTACCTATAGGAGCAATAACCGACTAACCAACTGTTAGGTTCATCCTCCAAACCCAGCCCCTCCCCGTGCTGGTCCCCACCACACATGTGATCCTTGTCACCGCACACTGGGTCCCTGCTCCCTCAGGGGCCACCATGAAGGCCCAGCCACTCAGAGGTGGACGTCCAACAAGAAGCCTGAGACAGGAGGCTGGTGGGGCCAAGGGCTTCCATCTGGTTTCAGAGCAGCTGCACAGCTCATGCTCCACAACCATGTGGCACCAAGGACTTGGGCTTGTTAGGATGAGAATTCTGAGGCTCTCCAAAGAATGTGCTACAAAACTCAACTGAGACCAGTCCATTCAGCCCCAGACGCTTAAGGATAAAGGGAAAAACAAAGTGGGTGAACAAAAAGCAAGCTGTAAAACCACAAGAAGGGTGGTAAGCCCAAGAAAGTCTGGACAGGTAAGCACCAGAGGGAACACGCGGCTGCATCTGGGCCAAGGAGGGCGCCCCAGGCCGCACTGACCTGGAGTGTGGGGAGGTCGATGAAAACATGTCGGTCCAGTCGGCCTGGCCTCAGCAGAGCATTGTCCAAAATGTCAGCTCGGTTGGTGGATGCCAGGACGATGACATGGTCGGTGGTGCCCATTCCTGAGAGATAGACAGTAGCCTTTAGGGTGAGGGTCCCCAACACTGGCTTTCCCAAGGGGGTCCCCTTTCAGGACACAAGATAGATTTCCCACCAGAGTACGCGAGAAAAGACCCAGGATCAGTCCTTCCCTGAGAGCATTCCACCAAGATCAGCACGAGAGCAAGGATTCGCCGGTTTTACTTCCCCAGACACAGAGCCGCAGATGGGACCCTGGGCTCTGCCGTCCAGAGCCATTCTGTAAGTCCACACAACATTCTTGGAGGGAACCTCTAACAAGACGGACCCCGGGAGCGAGGGTGCTCCTCTCACTCCATCACTGCACCTCCTTGGGCCAAAGTCACCACTACGGAGACATCTGGAACATTCTACCTGTAAAACTTGGTCTGAGGGCCTGGGTTTTCTGCCCCAGGTTTCTCACATGAGAATTTAAAAGCAAGTCCAGAAACCATCCCAGTGGCCCAGATCTGCAACTGCAAAAACACATTTATGAAGCAATCAGGGAAATCTGAGCCTGATTGGATATCAGATGCTATGAAGAACATAATTTTAATTTAAGTTATATGATATTGTGGTATTTCTCTCAATGTAGAGAACTACATTCAGAGATTCAGAGCATATATTAATAAGATTAAGAGTATGTAAGATTCAGAACTTTGGGTTGGCTTTAAAATAAGCCACTGGGGAGGAGAAACAGATAAGGAGGTGTGCACAGACTAGGGCTGGCCACGTACGGACAAAACGGAAGCAGACCTGGGACATGGGGGCTCACTGTACACTTCTGCTTGTGTGGGTGTTTGAAAAGTTCCACGCCACAAAGTTTAAAAAATAAAGATGCCATGATGTCTCTTCCTAACTTAAAAAAAATCCCTAATAAATTGACATTGACAAATACAATTTTGAACCACCAATAAAAGTCTGTTAACAAGTGAAATTTAGAAGAAATATTACAGAATTAAACCCTGAGAGCATGTCAGGCACTGCTGCCTGAAGGCAGATGGTCGTTTATGCCACTCCAGGATCCTATGACAGCGGTGAGGGACTCAGCCAAGCGTACCAGCTCAGGGAGGGCACCCACCTCACCGAGGGGGTGACACCCATTTCACTGAGAAGCAGACACCAGGACAGCCCAAACCACATCCCATTCACAAGGAAATCACTCCAGAACTTCAAAGAAATGTCTCCTGGAGATGCGACAATCCCTCACCGACATCCCTCTCTTCCGGGTCTGCACTGGGGAATGGGATAAGACAGGATGCCAAGATAAGTCTAGCCCCGTTCATGTGTCAAGGGTAGAGAGTGCAGAAAAGTATCCCCTTTGTCCATGCCAAGGGGATGTCTTAAAATCACCCTGACTTTTGAAACAAATTCAGCAACATGAGTAAGCACCACTCAGCACTTGTGAGGTGTCAGCCCCTCTGCTCCATTTGCTCGCACTCTTGTTTTAAGTGAAACCCTGACGCGGGAAACTAGGCAGCTGGAGGGAGGTGCCCTGGAGAGGCCGCACACGCCCCCCAGCCTCCTTGGTGTGTGTG